GCTGTAGTTTCCAAGTTTGTTGGTTGTTAAGGTTCATATGAAAAATGACTTTTGGAAATATCGACATTTCAAATAATATTGAATTCATTATAAACTTATAAAAAGGAACAATTTTTTTAATTGATAAATGTAATATGAATTTCAATATATTTTATAATAATTTTAGTATTTCAATATTTTCCATCCTCAAAATTTTAAAATACCAAAAATTTTATGATTTTATGGCCAGATTTATCTCATTTTTATTTAAATTTATATTTCTATTTTTGTTTGTTTTTTACCTTGGTCAATAAATTATAATTATATATATATTATTTTGAAAAAATTGTACAAAATCGAATATGATTTATAGAAAATCAAATAAATTTTATAATAATAACTAAAATCCGTATATATTTGACACTAAAGTAAAAATTGAATGAAATCATAAATAGGCCAACATTTTTTTTATAAATAAAATAGAATAACTTTTAAATTGTAATTTCATTTACAATTTTGCCTTAACAAAATATTCTTTACTCATAAGTAAATTAGTTTTACTTGGTTTGATAATTTCAAATAATAAACCGAAATTAGTCATACTTTTATTGGTTGCCTCAAATACTGAAAAATCTGGCTTCAGTATTTTTGGATTTGATATTATTCCTTAGATTTCTTACTACAAACTGGGATTCGTAAGTTTTTAAAATACATTTTATTTTAAGAAAATCTAATTTGAAAACCAGGTTTAACCAACTAAAAAAAGGGTCTAAAACATTAATCTCGAGAATTTAGAAAAAATTATTTCAGTTTACTGAAAAATCCCTATTTTTGATATTCAAACACTAGTTTTGTGAGATTTGAACCGGTTTGGGTACTACTTAATGCCTTACTTCATGCTCATACTCAAAACCAATTCAAGACAAAATATTAAATTTTTTACGGGTTTAAACCGGTTTTGTAGAAATTTTGAGATTTTAACCAGTTTTTGTACTACATGATGCCTTACCTCATGCTCATACTCAAAATAAATTCAAGTCAAAATATTAAGATTTTTATGAAATTAATTTAAAGAAAAGCTCATTAAACAAATAATTTCCACCATAAATATATACAGTAAAACCTCGCTTAACGCACTCAAAGAGACTTGAGTGTAAAAAAAACTGATCATTTATTTAAAAAAAATATAATTTTGTGTACAATTTGTTTTAGAATTTATTTTTATTATGCTGAATTAAAATTTAGTTTGTTTTGACATTTAGTGAATCCGCACTTAATATAGCGATTATATTAAATCTAGTATATAAAACCGTTTATTTAATTTAAAAAAACAGGATTTTTAATTTTACAAATTCATTGGAATAAACCACAAATCCGCTTAAATAAACGATAAAATAAATTCAATATAACATTTTTTATTTCAAGTTCAAGCGTAATGTGGTTGCTCAATTAATAATAGTAATCAACGTATTAAAACGCGCCTAATTACAGTTGCCTATCCTCTTTAACTTTACACATAATCCCCAAGGCAACCAATCAAATATTAATGATAATTAAAGTTGATCATCCTCGTTAACATTGTTTATAATCCCCATGATAACCAATCAAATTCGCGCAATTTCGACATTGATTCGTCATAATAATAAATTGAATCAAAATCATTACAACTTCCTTGCACATTTCCCCGTACATCGAATGCAATTGAAGTATTGCATAATACTTTCATTTATTTATTTATTTTTTCCCAGTTGTGTCGTTACGTATTATTTTTTTTATGGTTTCTGAGTAATACGTGTATGCGATTTTATTTTGTGTACGTATATATGCGAGCGATTTCCTCCCAGAGTCGTAAAGTTTGAAGTTTCGAATCGACTTTATCAACGGTTTATATATATTTATGGGCGGCCTTCAATTGAAATTTCTCGCACAGCCAGGCCAGAACTATGTGTTTGTATATATATATATGTTGTGTATACGAGCGGAGTAATAAAGGTTAACAGCCAAAATGCATTTAAACGGCTCCTTAACTGCCGCTAATCACTCGCACACTTGACCAAACCAGAAACGACACAAAAGGAAGATTAGATACAGACAAGCGCAGAACGCAGACGGAGAGAAAGGAAGAAGATGGAGGAATGCAGCAGCACGACGAAAATCGGAAAAAAAAATGTGTTGTCAATAAATTACCAATGCGGACAGTCCTTGATTACGCGATTATTTAAATTGTTTGTGAAATTCTCCAATAAAAAACATATACACGTATTTTCGTCATGCACTTAATTGAGTATTTAATGTTGTTTACATTAAGAAACAGAAACATTCAATTATATTTTATTTCATTTATATTTATTAATTAAAACATAGTTTAGATTTTTTTACCTATTCCATTCATTAAACGCTCATAATATAGCCATTTCGATCCAGAAGATTCGTATCTAAACAAATCTATTAATGTTAACGATGTTTTCACTAATGTTTCGTTAAATAAAATTTCTCTATTTTAAACACTAGATTTATATTCACTTTCGTTAATCATTTATTTTTGAATGGACGCAATCTCTAAGTCTGGCCAATATTAGTATTTTATAATACTAATGATTGAAAATTAATTACATAAAATAATGTATAAAAATAAACGTTTCTAGGATTAAAATTATGTCAACTTATTAATGTAAATTATCTCGAATTGAAATGTTCCGCTTATAATTAAAATGTAATCAATTACTTTGGTATACATTTTCAATTGCATCATTAAAATGTCAAATACAATTAGAAAATGCAAAAATGAATTAAGTCATCTAATGCAGTGATTCTCAAAAAAATCGGGGGATCGCAAAAAATTAATGACAGATCAATCCTGGTTGTTTTTCTACACATACCCAATCTTCGGGGGGTCGCAGAAACTTCAAAAGGGGGTAGCGGGCCAAAAAGTTTGAGAATCACTGGTCTAATGTATGGTTTTGCTTCTATTCAACGAAATTATATTGTTAGTATTTAAACAATAACAGCAATATCTCACACAGTGCGGACTAATCGCACTGATAGAGACTTCACTATATAAAAGGTCATGATAACTTTGTGTGTTATTTTTTAGATTTCATTCTTATTTTTATCTTTAGTTTGTTCAAACCGGATTATCGTGAATCCGGACTGACTGAAACTGGACTATGCTTGGTATTGCTGTACTAATAAATAAAGATTAAAATGCTAAAATATCGAAAAGATGATCATTGTTTTTCTTTGCTTTACATTCTTTCAAGAAAATGTGCATCGTGTTATTGGATAAGGCACGTATCAACGTCGATATAAAAAGTGAGTCAACTTCAACCTCGAATCAAATCATAGATTCAAATCTAAAAATGAATGACAATTAACGATGTGTTTACTAATTGTTTCATTAAAATAAAATATCTACATTTTACATACTCAAATCGTAATTCAAATAAATTACTTTTAAATTACTCTTCAAATTAAATAAGGAAATGCCAAAAAGATGATTATTGTCTGTATTAATTTGCTTCGTCTTTTTATAATCAATTTAAATTGGGTAATATATCACTAATCCATTAAAAAAAATTACAGAACGTTTACAATCCTTTCACTAAACGAACATTTTTTTTTCTATTTTAAAAACTTACTATTAAAATTGAAATAATTGTTTTAAAAATAATTACTAAAATATGAAACTGATGATCATTATATCTCTTTTATTTGTATCTTGTTTTCAAAAGTACGTCACTAGCATTTAAATAATTATTTCAAAATTATTTTTTCAAACGTATAATTATTACCTCTCTTTATTTACATTTTTATACAAGAATTTATCGCTTTATATTTAGAAAATATCAACAATTACATTTTTTTCACTAAATGTTTCCTTATTTTTTTATATTTGACAAAATACAGTCAAAACGTATCGCTTTACATTAGATAAAACACAAATATACAATTTTTTTTTAATCTGTTTTTGTTTCTATTAAATACATATTTATAATATTTTAAATACTAAACTTATTAAAAATTAATTAACAAATCATTTTTATTTTTATGTTTCTTCAACAAAAATTGTCAATATGATTTTAAAAATCACTTTTCAAAACTAATACTAAAATGTCACATATACAACATTATTGTATCACTGGATTTTCTCCTTCTATGAACCGAAGTGTGTCGCATTATATTGGATAAAGCTCGTATATATTTGTATCACCTTCCTTACATTCCCATCGATGTCGATACATAAAGTGAGTCAACCTTATCGTTTTCATTCCATTCAAGGAAGTCAGATACAAAGATTGGAATTTCGTTCAAATATTGGTAAACAATTCAATGAGGATCTCTTCTTTAACAGTACTAAATAGACATTTCTATTAACTCGTGATAAAATAAATAATAATAAAAAAAATGTAATAAACAACATAAGATGTAATTAAATTTTAAATCGTTTCTGATGATTCGTTTATTGCATTTTTACTACCGCACTTATTTAATTGACAGACTTAGCGGTAGTATAAACAGTCAACTTTGATTGATGTTATTTACATAATATTGCAATAACAAATGGAATGGAAGTCGCACAAACGTTTGATTGCCATCTGTCATCGTTTGATCAGTTGACAAACAAATTTCCAGTCCTCGTCTTAATCGATACATCTGAATTATTACAGATATTTTCCCCCGCAATACACGTACGTTTCTGCACTCAAGTATATATTTTTTTTAGTGCGGACACGAGTCGTACGTTATTTATATATTTATTTTTAATAGCTCATTGTGCAAATCCCAGCACGTCACGGAAACAAATAAAAATAATGGTATGCTCCGTTGCGAGATGGAGAGTGAAAGAAAAAAAATATATATATAAAAATAAAAGTAAATGAAACGAGATTTAAAGTCTCCGGGAAAACAATAATGGTGCGACAAACAAAAGCTGAGACGTATCAAGTCGTACGCAAACAAAAGTGCCCAGAATAAAGTAAATAAATAAATATAGAAATAAAGAAAGGAAGCTCTTTTCTTACATGTTTTTTTTGTTTCTGTAATGGTAACTCGGTAAAGGTAATCTCTGCGCTGTGGTGGTTATAATCTCGCGTCCTTGCCTTGAATTTTTTTCAAACAGCACTCACAGTTGATTAACTAATTATACATAATTCATTTATCCATGTTCATAAATTGATGATTGCTGTTGTTATTCTTCTTCAGGAATATCCACGAAACTTATTATTTCATTTATAATTTTATGCTGGGGAAGTTTTGTATTTTATTTTTTTTTAATGATGGAGACGATGACGGCGTCTAGCACTTCCGTAGTAGTCGCGCGTTGTTTCTTGTGATCCTTGT